GAATGATATAGGATAAATTTTTTTACATAGTTGTGTAATGCGTTATTAAATTTGAGTACCTTACCATCTAAATTAAATGACATGTTAAGTAAACCTTTATGAATGATATAGGATAAATTTTTTTACATAGTTGTGTAATACGTTATTAAATTTGAGTACCTTACCATCTAAATTAAATGACATGTTAAGTAAACCTTTATGAACGATATAGGATAATTTTTTTACATAGTTGTGTAATGCATTATTAAATTTGAGTACCTTACCATCTTCTCGTCTAAATTAAACAAAAACATTAATAATTAAGTATGTAGCATTAATTAATTATATACAAAAATAATAAAGTTTATGATAAATTTTCTTACATAATGCAATGCATTATTAAATTTGGGTATTAATATCTTCTCACCTAAATTAAACAAAATATTAATGATTAAGTAAATAGCATTAATTGTATTTATGAATGATATAGGATAACATTATTGTGCAATGCATTCTTAAAATTCAAGTATTAGACAAAAATATTAATGATTAAATAGTATTATTATTAATTGTATGCAAGAATAATAAAATTTATAAATCATTATCATTGATCAATATTAACTTCCAAATGGCAGGTACAAATACTTAAACAGATTTGAAATGAATTAATTAATTTGTATCACACAATTTATTTTTTTTCTTTTATATAATAATTTTTATTTTATAATACCAGTTATAAATTAACTTATACAAAATATTGCAAACCATTATTTTATTTAAGCCAAGGCAATCATGAATTCATCTAATAAACCAGCAAAGTCATCACGAGAAGCTCACAAGCATAGAAATAAAAGGCTTAAGTGGGAACATGAACATAGCAAACTTGAAGTAGGTGTGCCACCAATGATAAACCCACCTACGAAATGTAATATAGTCTTTGATCTATCAAAGGTAAAATTCAATAAGTTAAAAATAATAACAATTTTATCTGCCATATATTAACTTTGGCTTGAATTTTGTT